AGCGTGCAAGGCACTGCAACTCTTAAGGCTAGGAGAAATGTAGTGCATTCACGGCCTCGAAGGCTTTGAGTTCGCTGCAGGCATCGCTACAAATTGAGCTGTAAGTCGGTCTGGCCGCATTCAGAATCGTGACAATCTCCTCTAAAGGATGGCAAACATGGCCCTGGTATCCCACCTGGGCTTACAGACACCACCGAACTTGAAATCCCAAAACCTCTCGCATGCAAAGCTGCCTGATCGCCGCTCGGTCCTGCGCAGCTTGGCGCGCGCGCTCGCACCAACTGCGATCCCAGCCTTGCAGATCGTGTTCCACGATCTCAAAGAGATCGTGAATTCACGTCACAAGCAGGATGGTGGATTGCGGAGCTGGGGATTGAACCGGAGTCACTCGTTGCTTAGCCATGGCAGACGTGATGGTTCAATGCTGCCGGGTTTGTGGAATCACCTGTCTAGGGTTGGGCATGGTTCGGGCAGCAAACGAAACCTCTGACTCCTGACGAAACCACCCTCTGCCGCATGCACACATGAGCCAGCTGCGATCTGGCCCGTGCAATCCACAGGTGCTGGCCCGAACCCTGAAGCCCTGGGGCAGAACAGACAGTACGGCTCACCACGTCCGAGGAAACGCTGCCTTGCAGGCCGGGTGTGGCCAGCTCCTGGGCTCATGAGCAGGTGGAGATGCTTCGGGAGCTGACTGGGTTTGGGCTCCGCCAAGCAACTCCTTACGGAGTCAGACATCCCGCAAAAGCGTCGACGACCGTGCACGGGCCTAACTAGAACAATCATTCCACATAACAACCATGGAACAAGGAGTGAACATTAGTGAATGAACCCCTGCTGCGACACTGCTGCACATGAGGGAAACGAGAGCTCAGAATTGGGATTGCATGGATACATCACTCCGGATCACATACCGACTTTCTCGAAACTGCCGTCCATGTGTGACATTAGCACTTGCTGTTCACTGGCTTGTCGTGCAGTCTTGACCTTTGAACGACTCCCGCAAAAGCCAGAGAACAAGGTAGAGTGCGTGCCATAGGCAAACAAGAATGCTGTCCAACCCACTCGGGCGTGGACCCTCCCTGCCAAGAGCCCTTCCTGGGCCGGAGGCCTAAAAGGCTAGAGGCCTAGACAAGCGACACCGCTACGGCGACGGCGCTCCACCTCCCGAGCAAAGTCTCGAGCGTGGTCCACGGGGACCCCGAGGACCTCAGCTCGCAAGCACCCGGTAGGCGCGGTAAATCAGCCAAGGTACATTCATGTCCAGCAAAACTTCAGATACCAGACCCTACAACCCGAGCCTGTCCCAACCTGTTGAGGTTCGGGGGGTTCTATGTACCTTTCCTTGAGCAATGACAACTCACAGTCTCTCCGCAATTAATACTTGCATTGACGTATTCATCGATCGATTCAGCGGGAACGAAATGGCCCCAAGGATGTCTACCTGCGCGTAAGCTAGTAAGCTCGTTCGCATGTCCTTTTGGTTCAGTCACTCAGGCACGAATGCTTCTATTGTTTGTGGGCACGCATGCATGTGCGAGGGAGAGGTGCTCTTGCGCACGTTTGTTTATCTGGCGATGCAGACGCCCGGATCGTGGATGATTTTGGTGTGAACCGAAGGCCGCATGAGTAAACACCTGCATACCCACATAATTTGCCTCGCATGTGTCAGCTTCAGCGTCGCGTTTGCACCAGGCCACATCCGAGAAGTCCGCCAGTGGCAGCTTCCCACACAGTTTCCGAGCGAGCTCCAGAAGCCTCGCACCGGGAAGGGCGGGGAACGGGAACAAGCCTAGAATTCCTCCAAAGCCCCCGAAGCCTTGGGATGGGGTCCATACTGTTTTGAAACTCTCGGCCGTAATTCATGGCCCTCACTGACCCTCGATGAACTCTGCAAGTGTCGCACTAAATCAAGAATTCCGAAAATGCGGAACACCAACACCTGCTCCATTGCTGTTGCAACCACATGGACATGCGCAATAGATCTCACAATGGCAATGTCGAGCTGTCGGCAAGTGCTGAAACAAGGCTCTGCTCATAACCGGTGGACAACTCCATACGGTCCATACGGTAACAAGCTTGACCGGTAGCCTGGCTCTGGATGCCATGTCAAAAGAAGTGGCCAACCCGGCAACGATGATGACCATGCCAACCCACATCGTCATGATGGGCAGCTTTGTTCAAACAAGAGACACATCGTCTGCAATCTGATGGACCAGCTCAGGCGGGGCCTCCCCGACCTCCTGAAGGCAAAAAAGGGAAACACGTTGCGGCTCAACATCCACTGCATGGATCTGCAAGAGCTGCGCACCTTCTTGAACCTCCCTCGGGAAATCTCACATCAGCCGGCTTCGCAATAATCGATCCCAGCTCCTAGTTTAGGCCTTCTCACTCCAAGCCGAGCGTCTGTGAACTGGTCCTCCGCGCCGAGTCTCACGTGGACTTTGTGCTTCCTGTCCAATGAGTGAAGGCTTCTGCGCTTTGGGTAGCCCTGCGGGAGGATTCGCTTCGCGGCACGAATCAGAGGCAGAAATACCACGAGCAACGCACCAATCACTTGGCTTCCCAGGCCTCTCCGAAAGGACATTTGACACCCTGTGCACGTGGATGGACGCGAGGAGGAACTTCTCTGCAGGCGCGGGGCCTCGGGTCGCGACGGGAGGCCCTCGGCTCCCTCGGCTCTCGGTGCCGAGGTGCGGAGATGAAGGGAGCCACGGGCAAAAGCTTTGGCCGGTGGCTCCTCTGCTCCAAGGTCGGGAGGCTCCGGCTTTGCAGTTTGCAGCATCTTTCAGCATCTTGCAACCTTCAGGCCTATGCGACCCCCATGGCTCCTCCTTTAGCGGAGACCAAAGGAGCTCTAACTCAACGGAGCGTGTCTCAGCTGTGTCCTGGTGCGAATGCGTGGGGTCAGGGTAACCATGAGTAAGGACTTACACTGGGCTTGATCTGAGCCTGTCGTTCTTCAAACTGCAAGCGGCCGTGCACCGTCCACGATGCACCTGCCTCCGTCCCGGCATCCACGAGGGGCACCTTTTGGGGTCTTCGGGCCCTTTCAAGAAGGAAGTTACTGTACGTTGTACAGAACCCAGCAGGAGGCACACATCCTGTCACGCAAGCTCGGCAACTCGGTCTTCCCCGATCGCGACTCCGGCCTCTACCCGGCCAGCTTCGAGGTCGTGGATGAAGACCCGCGCAGTTCCCAGCAGGACCTGGTGGCGGCCGGGCGGGTGTCACGGCACCTGCCTTGCTTTGCAGGTACCTGCTGGGTGCTCTTGGGGCAGGAATATGCACATAGAACTCTGGATCCCTTTGAAGGTGGGTCGGTGGACATAACCACTTGAAGTCGAAGATGCTGCTCCGAAGCTGCCACTGGAGTAGAGCCGTAACCGGATGGACTGGTCTTGGGAGTGCACAGCGAAGTCCTGCGATGCTTGAGTCAGTTCTTGAAATACTGGTCATGATTCGTATGTACCAGAAAGGTGAGGCGCTGAACCTCTCTCCTCAAGGACTTTCCCTTGTCTCCTGTCCCATCGTTGTCGGGTGTTCCTGCCTTCGTGCTTGCAGATCTTCGCCATCTTTGTCATTACTGCAAAAATTCACCATACTCGTGTCCCCGAAGCGCAACAACTCGTGTTGTTTCCACCTGGGTCAACTGCACGGACACCTGCACGGCTTTCTAGTGCTTTCGTATCAGTGCCAGCCCCATTCAGTATGGAATCCACACAAAACTTCGACAAAGGTTGAACTCCTCGGCAGCATCGTCCGGCCACTCCGCGTGGTTGGGGTCAGGCCGAGCCCGGCTGATTGAACTCTTCCAGGAGCTGCAGCCGATCATCGCCTGCGGAGCTGCAAACTTCGGATTGTAGCAGTTTCGCCGTCCCTTGCAGTCGTTGTCATTGAAGTGCTTGTCGGCGTCACTTCGTCGCTATCATCCTACTACCACCAACACCACCACGAAGACCACTACCACGAAAACTCGCCCCACAACAGCCGGCACCACCACCACCGCCGCCGCCACCACCACCACTGCCAAAACCACCACAACGACTGTGACGACTACTGTCACTGCTAGTGTTACTACTGCTGTCACTACTGCTGCCACCTCTACCACTGCATCACCTCCATCGGCACCACCATCACCACCATCGCCATCAGCACCTCAAGCCCCCCGCCGATGCCCCCCACCACGACTAAGAGGTACCAGTACCCGGCACAACTCCTTCAAAACCTCTGTAGCACCCCACAAACGTTGCTGCGAACCTCGAGGTACAGGGAACCGGGCAGCGCAGAGGTGGAGCTGACACCCTCCAAGCGCACCTATATAAGCAAGGGAGTCAAAAACGACAAGGTTTATCACTTGTCGGCTGGTATTCTTGCACATGGGGATGCCGCCGTTTGTGGGTGCGGTAGTGGCTACAGCGGGAAGCCAATGTCTAGGAGTTTAGGAGCTGCTGCGGACGGTTCCGATAGTAATGGTCATGTCTTCTTCAAGCGACAAAGCGATTCGTACTTCTATTCATGGCTCATCTTCTGTCAGGTTGCTCGCAGGAAGCCCAGCGGCGGTGGATGTCGTATAGCACATGCATCGGTGGTGGGGCCAAACGTGTCCTCTGCGGAAATCAATCATGCCCTGCTTACCACAAAACAAGAGAAGTCCATGCCACGCAAATGGCAGTCGAAGAAAGGCTCCGGAGTCAAAGAGCCAATGCATAGAGCAGGATGGGCCACTAACACATTCAGCTTTCAGCACCCGACCCCGGGCCAGCGGCACCGCGATGACATTTGGGACCACCAGGAGACTCGCAACCACATCGTCAACGGTGTCTCGCACGAAGTTGTACAGGTTTGGGATCAGCTCGGAACCTCGACAGAGAATGTCAAGGCGGTATCTAAGCTGTCGGTGGTCTTGGCAATTGGCTGTTGGTGCTAGTGCTGCCCTTGGTGCTCTTGGTGGTGTTGGTGGTGTTGGTGGTGTAGCGGGCTGGTGGTGGCGGCGGCTGTGCAGCGCCGACTGGATTGCAGAGAGTGCAATCACAACAACGACGAATTCCGGCAACCGCGACGGAAATAGGGAGCAGGAGGAGGAGGAGGAAGACGACGACGACAGCGTGGATGACTTGACTACAACTCCCACTTATGGCTCATCGTCATCCTGGGCTGCGGTTTGTATCCACCCTCTTTCTCCATCAGAGTCGTCATCAGCAGCAGCAGCACCTCCACCCAACGTTTCCGACATATGCTTTCAGCTTGCATGCCGAAGATACCATGCGCAGTGCAGCGTCACCACTACCATCCGATATCATTAAAGTTTTCATCTTACGGCCATGGTCTGCTTCGCCGACCACAGAAGCGGCAGCAGCAGCAGCAGAAGCATCAGCAGCAGCAGGAGCAGGACCAGGACCAGGAGCAGCAGCAGCAGCGGCAGCGGAAGCAGCAGTGGCAGCAGCAACGGCGGCGGCGGCAGCAGTAGCAGAGCAGCAGCAGCAGCAGCAGCCGTAGCCATAGCCGTTGCCGTAGCCGTAGCCGCAGCCGTGGCCGAAGCCGAAGCCGTAGTTACAGGAGTCGTCGTCGACGTCGTAGCCGCACTAGTAGTAGGCGTGATAGAAACCGCGGAAGTCGCAGAAGCCGTCGTGGTCGTGGTCGTGGTCGTGGTCGTGGTCATGGT